CAGGGAGCCCGATGCGGGACTCGATCCCGGGACTCCAGGATCATGACCTGAGCCGAAGGCAGTCGCTTAACCAACTGAGCCACCCAGGTGCCCTCTGTTATTTTTGATCTAAAATGCTAAACAGCATTTTGTGTGAGTACTTACTTGAGTACAGAAGTGCAGACTTAGGTGAACAAAGTCAAAACCCTTTTCTCTCTTCCTCTTACCCAGTACCCTTTTGTTACCTCTACCACTTCTTGTCAGCCATTCACCTTCTATGGTTGTAGTACATTTGGAAAAAATCATTGTGTGACCTTAATACCAGCATCCCATGACTATATGTGGAAAAGGTAATGGAGACCCATAAGGTGTAGGGCAAGGAAGATACCTCTTCCTGGGGGAGAAAGATAGGAAAGATGGGAAAGGTGGGGCCTGTTAGCAACACTGAACAATGCAGGTTGTCTCCTTTACTTGACCAAGACTAGACCTGTTTTGTCTCTAATGTGGGATGGTATTTTTTCCAAAATCTGTCTTTTCCCCCCAGGTAATGGTTTCAGGAAGTGGTTTGTCCTTTATTTTGCCTTGAAGTTTAAAAAATTACCTGTATGTTAAAGTTTCATACAGTCTATAATAGTACTGTTTAATAGAAATACAGCATAAGCTACATACGTAATTTAAAAATTTTTGGTAGCCAAATTAAAATAAAAAGAAATAGGTGTAATTAATTTTTATAATGTAATTTTAACCCATTATTGCCAAAATATTATTTCAGCATTTAATCCTTATAGAAATATCAAGGCATTGTATATTCTTTTATTCCTGCTAAATCTTTGGAATTTTATGCCTGTAGCATTTCTGAATTCAGAATAGCCACACGTGGCTGGTGGCTACTGTATTGAACAGTGCAGATCTGTAGACTTATGTATTCTGTCGCTTATACACCTCAAACCAGAAAGTTGTTGTTTGGGGGGTGAGTCATTGGATGGGGTACTGTATTTGTGACACTGTGGAGGAAAAATGCATGATCTAAGTGTAAAGTTGGACTTTCCTCATAAAGACGATCCTTAAACTGTTTATTGGTAAAGTATATTAAATACTACCTAATGACATTAATATATGTCCCAGCATTCAAACCTGGCTCTTCAGGAAGATTTAGTATTTTGGGGTATGATTTTTAATATTCTTGAGACTGAAAACAAGTATTTTTCATGGAAAGACTCTCTGCCTTTTATCTCTTCCTCGGTGAGATCATGGAACTGGGGGCAGTTCAATGCCCAGAATTGGGCAGAAAGCCTCAGACTTCTGTCCTCCCTGGAGATGTGGTGGCTGAAGCATCAGAGTGTGGAGTGGTGCTATGCAGTTGTCAAACAGAGGGAAGTGGAGACATTGGGGAGGCATTTCCTGTTCTAGAACTTTGACGTTCCATCGTGCTTATTGCAGACTTAGGTGAACAAAGGGGGGAAGGTCCTGGGCTTGGAGCCAGGAGATCCAATGGTCACCATCTGTGTGACCTTCACTAATTTATGTAGCCCCTCTGAGCTTCAATTTCCTCATCTGTGAAATGCTGATGATACATACAGATTTGGGGGGAGGTTTCGTGAGATAATGTGTGTCTGATCCAGCAAAGGCGTGTGTATGTTGTAGGCTCTAAAGTTTTCTTGTGTCCAGATGACATAACTTTGTATGATCCCCATGACCACCATTTCATTCCTGCGCTGAATAGGCACTGTATGTCGAAACTTTTCAATAACCGTGTGATGATGATAGAGAACTTGTTACTTTTCCCATTTTCTGATGTAGATATGGAGATGTAACTTTCCCCAAGGCCACAGAGCCAATAAGCAGTTGGAGCTAGGATTTCCTGAAAATACTTTTTAAATATGAAATTCTCGAACATACACAAAAGTAAACTAGTAGAGGGTTTCTCAGACTTGGTTGAGCATCAGAATCACCTGGCTTTGTTAAAAACCCAGATTACTAGGCTCCATCCCCAAAATATCTGATTCAGTAGGTCTGGGATGAATTTGCATTTCTAACGAGTTCCAGATGATGCTGAAGCTGCTGGTCTGGGACTGCACCTTGAGAACCCTTGGACTGGTATAATGAACTCCCATCTGCCTGTCACTGCCTTCAACAATGGTAAATGTTTTGGGGACCAGGATTTTAATCCTGACTCCTCACAGCTGCCTTTAGCTGGTCCCCGAACAGCCTTTCTGGTGATGAGGTATGCAGAAACTCTTCTGAGAACCAAATATGTATTATGAATATTCCCTCCCCTGCTCCCATCCCTGCTTCCATCTTCAAATAAGTAGCTTAAAGCTGTTTTGAAATCTGACTATATTGGGCCTTTTAGAGCCTTTTAGCTTAATTACTCGACCTCTTCATTTCAGAGTTCCAAAAATAGCTTTTACTGACATAGGAAGAATTAAGACTTTCAAGAAAAATTCTGGAAAGAAAAATTGTTGGCTGGAAAAGGATCAGCCAACAACAGTACAGATTTAAGATAGAATTATTTATACAGTTACCATGGTGCATCTTTTTCTTTTTTGCTTTCATTATTGCTTTATACTTGTGCAAAAATGGCAGGCAGAATTGGAAGCTGGGATGGATGTGTAAGTGAGAGGCACATGCTGAGCCTGCCCTCCAGGCTCTCGGTCTGTTCTCTCTGTCTCTGTCCTCTGTATACCCTCCTTTGCCCTCTTATCCCATACCCCATGTCAAGGGAGAAGACCTTCAGATCTTTGCAAGGACGAGATCCCCATGCCACTCAGCTCTTTTCTTGTGTGCCTGCTGGGCACAGGGCGTGGAGGAGTCCCCTACATCCCTGTCTGGGCTTCTCTCATTAACATTCTCTGCACTCCCTTTTGAGCACAGCTGACTAAATGCAAGCAGCTCTGTGGGTTTTTGTTAATTAGTATTATCTTTATTACCTCACTTTGCATCATTTCATGTCTCTTATACCATTTTCTGGATGCTATTGATTTGATAGTTTTCACAGTCTTTAATTCTGTTTATTTTAGTAATGGGATAATAATTTTTGGAAAACCACAGTTATTTATAAAACTGACAAATACAAAACCCAGACTCTTTTCCTTCCATCAAACTGATGTTGAATGTCCAAGTTTTGCTAATGCTGACATGCCTAATGAAATAAAATCTTCATTTAGTGAGAAGTCCTCTCATTTGAGTGCTTTTTCTTAGTGCTGTATAAAAAGGGAATTCAACATCTTATCAGTGTTTATAATGTAAAGAACTGTATTCACAAGTGTGTCATTCTTTTAGCCTGCTCTGAGGATAGCACCACACTTCAGTATGAGAAATCTATTTAGATGTCTGAGACTTTGGTGTCCGCTATGCATTCTTCTAAACATTCGCCAGTTAATTAACCATATGGGAATGCTCAGGTTTGAGCTTGCTTTGCAGTCCAAGGTTAGATAAGGTCCTCTTTTTCCTCCAGTTTTTTGTATCACGTGCTTGTGCACACCGTTATTGAAAGTGCAAAAATCAAAATGTAGAGGGGAAGAGCATAGAGCAGGGGGTCAGGAGACCTGGGATCCAGGCCCAGGCTTGCCGGCAACACCCCCCAGGCCCGGGGACAGTCACGTAAATCCCACACTCCCGGGTTTTCCTATCGGTAAAACGAGAGGGCTAGACCAGATAATCTCAGCTTCCGATGTTTGCAGATCGTAGTTCTAATGTTACCGGACCTCCTGCTCCTTTTAAACAAGCATGCTTCTCAACAGCTGCTGAGGCCATTGTTCACGCACACACTGATGAACACCCGGGAGAAGAACATGTACTACTGAAGGGGATGTGATCATATTTTGATCTCCTAAGTTTTAATGTCCTGGGTCGAGGGAAGAAGAGCACGTCTATGACGAGGCAGTGGGAGGTTGCTTTCCCGGGTGAGCATGGCACAGGACCTAGTTCTGTACTGCTCAGCCCCCTTCTTCCTGCACCACTTTGCTTCCTCAGGGCCGTCATGGTGCGGCACACTCGCCGCTCTAGCCTCCTCTTCCAGTGCAGGCTGTAGTCCAGGGGCGGCTCAGAAACCCGCGGGCACCCCAGGCCAGCCAGTCATTGGTACCTCCTCGTACCTCCTCAAACAGATGCCATTCAAATCGTTTACTGTTTATTTATGTATTGTTTGTTTGTTTGTTTGTCGGCTCTGTGCCCAGCACGGAGCCCAACTTAGGGTTTGAACTCACAGCCCCAAGATCAAGACCTAAGCTGAGTTCAGGAGTCAGACATTCAACCAACTGAGCCACCCCGGCTCCCCAGTTGTTTACTATTTTATTTTATTTTTTTATTTTTTTACTTTTTTCCTATTTATTTGTTTATTATTCTGTTCAGTTAGCCACTGTATAGTACATCATTATTTTTGAGTAGTGCTAAGTGATTCATTATGAGAGACTGAGGGTTGCCTAGGGCAGAGATGGGGCAGGGACTATTGAGCCGTTCCTCTCCCAACTCCAGCGTGGCCCACCTGTCCAGAGAAAGCAGGGTCCTACAGTTAAGCATTCTTTGTTTCTCCAGCACGCCCATTGCAGAGCCCCATTGCTCACCTCGGGTAGCTTATTCACGTGCTCCTGGCAGCCACATAGAGTACGCTTTCAGAAAGGAGTTCTCATAAATGTTGTTTTCTCGCTCACGCTGGATTTCCAGAGATACTGTAGCACCCCTAGAGACTGGTTTCCTAAGCCCTTGGCCTCCTGGCACCCCATCCCCTTTACGCAGCTCTGCCCCAGCTATCCTGAACTGTTCGCTGCTTCCGGAACTCACAGTGCTGAGAGGAGGATTTATCCAGAAGCTAAGGATTCTTTCTTTAGTTTCAGGATTCCTTCCAGGGCCCTGGGAGGGCCTCCAGCAACTTTAACTTTATATTCAAAATTTTGTATTTTTTTTTAACCCCTTCCCCTTCCAGATATGTAAATGTCAGCCCCACAAAGTCTGGTTCCCATCCGGGAACATGTTCCTTGGTGTCTCCATTTTCCTGCAAGGAATCCCCAGTCCCCCCTGCATCCTGGCTGACGGGTTCCTCTCTTAGACTTGGCTCTGAAGTGCCCCACACTGTCAGGTTTCATCCCTCATCCAACACGTATTCATCGGATGCCTACATTATGCCAAGCCTTGTTCTAGATGCTGAGGGAGCAGTAGATAAAATGGAAATCTTTGCTTCGGTGGAGCTTGTAATCTCACCGGGGGATGCGGGGGGGAAGCAGGTTCATTCTAGGCGGGGTCAGATGCCACTTCTAGGTTCCCACTGCTGTCAGTCATTCTGCTCTCATCGTTCACACGTCTGTCTGTCTCCCCTCTGGACTGTGAGCTTTCTAGAGTGGGGGTTGTGTCCTTGTTATCCTGGCATCACAATGCATATGGACAGGCTCAGTAAAAGTCTGTGGCGAGAAGGAACACATAGCTGCTAACAACATTTGCATGCGAGGAGGGGAGGCAGCTGCTGATTTCCTGTGCCCACCCTAATTCTAGGAAAATGAGGATTCGCCCTCCAGATTTAACCGCTTAAATTCCGGGTGGGAGTATGCAGTGAGAGCCGTGGGTAAGATAGGAGCAACAGGAAGGCTCATTGGGCCACCCTGATTAAACTCTGGCTTCAGAGGACCCTTCCTTCTTGTTACAAGCTGCATTGTCCCCTCCCCAGCGACAGTGCTGGGGTCCTGTTGGCAACTTCAGGAAGTACACCATTTTGAAAATGGACTAAGTTCCATGAAGAATTTTTATCTCAGCCGATCAAGTAGCTTTTATAGTCATGCAGAAAAATCAAGGAAGTTTTAAATTCTTTATAAGCAGAAACAATAAATTTCTCGTCTCTTAAAATAGAATGCTCCAAGAGTTGCTGTTTCCTCAGTTTGCTATTTCAAGAAGTGGTATTCAGGATTTGAGCTTGTGTTAACATTTAATTACCAGAGACACAAAGTCCAGAAATGACTAGAAAGTTCACAGGAAGCTATCCTGTCAGAGAGAAAAGCAATGAAATCAGTAAGCCTTTCTGCCGAGCTCTTCCCGTGGTTTTTGAGGCTTCATACGTGACTGGCCAGAACTGAACTCACCTGTGGGCCTATGCTCTCCAGCTATGCTGGATTCCAGAGGAATCTCATTTTCCTGGCACAGAGAGGATTCCCTAGCTTCTCTTTGCCTGTGGATCTGGAATTTCAATTTGCATGGATGTTGGGCAGCCAGACCCACAGCAACAAGTGGTGGAGGAAGGAGTGAGGTTGGAGAACCTCAAAGGGAGGTTAATGGGGAGGGCACTGTGGATCATGCCTTTTGGCACCTGTGACAGCCACAGGATCACCGGGGTTCACCGTGCCGCCCCTGCTTCGACCAGTGGATGGGGACTGGTGGGGCCGTGATATCAGGGGCTAACCTGTACCCATGTTGTCCCTTAAGATGCAGCTCCTTCTTCCCGCTGTCCTGATCACATGGCCCTGGCTTCAGGCCTTGCCTGTGGATCTCTGGCAAGGAAGCCAAGGTTTTGAATCATTGTTATGAAAATGTCTGTGGGCGCTGGGCCTCCCAAACTCTCCAGTAGAGTCTGCTTCCACTCTCACCCCACATAACCAGCTGTGAGCAGCGCAGCATGGGGCTCACTCTCGCCTCCTCTAGAATCTTGAGTCCTGCTGCTCTCGTGGCTGTGCCCTAGGGGAGTGGGTCTGAAGGGCTTCTGTATACACCCTGACCCCCCAACTGTTGTTCTTCTCTGTCCTGCCTGACACAAACTTCATCAATACTCTCTTCAGTTTTTAATGTAAGCATCTATTTATATTTATTTTGGGCTCAGTCCCTGAATTCCAGTGTCATCTCTGTTAGTATACAGTTTCCTCTGTTTGGCCTTTTGTGTTCCCTTCTTTGTGCATGCCCCTACCATTGTTGTCTGTTTTATTTTATATGTTCTTGGAGAGTACAGGCAAGTTTTTGTAAACAGATTGGTAAAATTGAATGTATGTGTGACGTTCACCACTCCCCTCCCCCACCAAAAAAAAAATCACTGTCATGCAAGCAACACATTTAATAACAATAATGCTTGTAATAGTAATAACAACAGCTATTATTATCATGTGCTTACCGTTTTCCAGGCTCTATCAGGCATTTTACATGCATGCACTCGACGGAGCCTGGTAACAGCCCCATACAACTGTGCAGCTCAGCTTTCTTAACTACTGTACCGTACTGCCTTCGAGTTGATCCACATCTCTGGGGTATCTCTGGCCCCACCAGAGCAGATCCAGGTTTTGTGAGTGATGAAGCTTAGAACGTGGGGGGCCTTGTCTAAAAAGATAATTCAAAATTATAAATACAAAGGGAGGCATGGAAGTTAATACTTTATTTAGAATTTGAAAAGAAATCACAACAAATTCCAAATTTTAAAAAAGCTAACTCAAACCGTAAACATCAGAAATACAGGAGAACAACATTTTTATGAATAAATCTCTTGATACACCTCAGTAATATTTTCTTCCCTACATTTTTTG